AAGTTGCCTGAGAATGGATGATATATTCAATCTTGGCTTTAATGTCCTAAGTTGATTTCCATGTTTGTAAAGTTCCAGGAAAGAAGAAACTGTAGCCACAAGGGTCCATAGCTCACCTTAATGTTCATGGTCACAGGGAGCAGAATCAGACAAATTATTTGTAATCAGGAGGTTTTAAAATAACATATATATTACAGAATGGATAAACTGGTTGTATGTTAAATGACATTTACTTTCAAGAGAAATAGGGGGCGGTCGGGTAGCCTAGTGGTTAAAGCGTTTGCTCGTCCTGCCGAAGACCCGGGTTCGATTCCCGACATTGGTTCAATGTGTAAAGCCCATTTCTGGTGTCCCCCGCCGTGATATTGCTCGAATATTGCTAAAAGCAGCATAAAATCAAACTCACTCACTCACTCAAGAGAAATAGTTGATCTTAATTTGTTTTGATTTTTGTTTTATAATTGGCTATCCTCGTAATTTTCTAATGTTAAGTATTCAAATATCAAAATCACCAATATTATCACATAATAATCATGTAAATACGCATCATTCCATTGAAATAGAATGGCCCCAGTGCTCTATCAAATTCTATTTTAGACTAATGATGCATCATCATGCTAAGTATTAGACACTAACATGTTTATGATGAGCACTCTGCTACTTTGTATAACTTCCAGGGTATTTAACCCAGCACAATGGTGGTAGTTTATGGGACATTTGTGTTTATTTTTCTGAGTACAATACCCTTTTTGAGAGACAGTGTGGAAGCAGAATAATTGGAGAGTAATGGTGACAGTTTACAGTCCCTGTCATTGTGATGTGTTCACTGAAAGAGGACAATGATGGATTTAGAATGATGTCAGTGTGTAATAAGTCCTCCAACAAAGCGAAAACCCTCCAGAGACTTATTCAAAAGTTAAGGCTATTGAGATAGGACTGCTTGACCCTGGTGAAAGCAGTTTTTGCATGCAATCACATTATGTGCTTGTTCCCTATATCTGGGAAGCAAGTACCAGTAGAACCCTGCTTTGATTCCTGTCATTGAGGAACACATGAAGCATCTATTGGGATGCATTGGAAACTTTCATGTTGTTCTTACCTTTACTACATGGGAAGTTGGAATAAGATGGCTTATAGATTACTTTTTTTGGTTTACTACGGACCTGCGGACATGAAAAATAGCAAAATGAAAATAACATTGAAATGACTTCTCCCATATTATTTCATACCACTGATTCTTATGGTGTAAAAAATAAATTAAGAAAATATTAACATAAAGTAACACTTAAATTGGTTTGTGTGGAATAGAGGTTTCATTTCAAAATACAAAACACATAGCGAAGTGTTTATCACAAAGTTTCAAGCGATATTGACTGATAACAGTTACAGCCGTTTGATATCACATATCTGGTTGTGCTGTGTTTTTTTCAGGGAAAATGTTGGCATTCATGTGCCTTGTGACAATTGTTTTCCCCCTGACCACCAACAATGTAAGAACAAAATAAAATTCTGTAAAACAGCTAAAAAATAATTAATCGCCTAAGGATGGAATTTTATCCTGTGACCAAATATACACACGAGTCCATTCCTTCATCATGCTCATGATTCTGTGACAGCAATCAGCCTGAGAGTATCATTGTCTTTGAGTTGGAAACTTGATATCATATCCTAATGTTTTGACATGAAAAATTAAATTTAATAACCAGTGAAAGGTTTGTGGAAAGATGGTACTCATGCATTGTTAGTGTGCTTGCAGGACATCACGTTTCCTTCCTTCATCATTTGTGTACTAGAAGGTTCTTATTTTGTTATGAATAGTATTTGTTCTGTTATCCGTTTCAATTTGAACATGCAAGATTAGTTCATGAATCAGTTTATAAAAGGAGTGGGGGTTTGTTTCCCTTTCCAATTGGTTAAAAACCTAGGAATCATATAATCATGACATTCGGCATCTCATCTATTTTAATTGTTAGATATCAATGTGAACAATATAAAATTTATACAGTAACATCCCAAACTATGTAAGATATCATGTCGTACATTACGAAGATACTCAAGTAAAATTCCATTAACTATTTTCTGTGTATTGACAATGGTCTGGAATCCAGTGCTCTTGAGCCCTCTGTTCTATTTACAGTGGTAAAGGGTTCAACGTTTCAAGCTTACACCATAAATCGACATTTCTGGTTCCTAGCCTAAGAATGTAATGACAGGGCATTGCGTGGCCATAGTAATCCTCAATCAGAATTTTTCTCCCCCAGATTATTCAAGGTACAATCTTTCAACTGTCCTGCAGTGTCCTGTAATTCATTCTGCAACCCTTTGGTTTGTTTTCACCCTGCCCAGGAAGGCTTAGCAACACTAGATCTCTCTCAAGCTGACATAGCATCTTCAACCTGCTGACAATCACCCTCTACAACTTGATAAATAGTTGTTTGGATTTTGTATGGGGACTGGATATTTTTTCATCTACAGTTGAGAAAACATATTTTTTCAATTAACAGAATGAGCCAAAATATTTCTTTTGATAAACATCTTGCAACAATAAAATATCAAATGGTTGGTCAATAAGCATTGCCATGCTGGTCAGCAGAAAATTACTTACTTAGAAAAAATATACATGTCCAAAAGTCATGCTGTTATTGGATATGAGAAGCATCAGAGGGGGATTCAATGCATTTCTCAGATGTAGCCAGATTTGCACCACAGAGAAGTTGCATGACAAAGACATTAGTGTCCATGTCAATTAGTGGTGTTGATACAGCAATACGGTATTGTAATGCGATATCAGGCTCACAATAAAATACAACAATTTACAACCCCTGTAACACGTGAATAATACCAGAAACTGTCGAAGAACCATCTTACGCAGATTCTTTAGTATTTCCTGGTTAGCTTTAAATAGCATAACATTCACAGTGCCCTCTAGCCTATATGTTTCTGTCCTACAATATCCCACCGTCATTCTGAAATTTAAAAGAAAATGATTCAGGATTATGATTCATGTACAAAAAGAAAGAATATCAAGTGAATATAATATCAATGAAATAAAAGTACTGTTTCGTGATACAAATTGTGTCACACCTATATTGTATTGCCGCCCCACCATATCTTTACACCTCCAATGTCTGTGTTATTGTTCTTGACCAAAACTGCTTTGCGAAGAAGTGGGACAGTTTATGTCTCTGACATTCCGGAATGTTTCAATTGAGGAACTCCATGTTAGTCCTATACTATATTGAGAGCTACTATTGATGCAGACATGACATTTGTATAGCCTTCTAGAAGTGGAGACAAGACGGTTACAGTTCTGAAAAGACCATTACAACCGTTACACATTTGTTATGTTCCACAAAAAGATCTGCCAATCTTGATAATCTTTCATATTTATATAGATATAACATGACACTTTTTAGGTATCTTTATTGGCAGTTGGACCCCAAAAGAGCCTCCCAGAAGAAAGCATTGCTCTGAAGTCTCCAAGGAATTAGTTGATCAGACTGTTTTGAGTCTGACATTTGTGGCTCTTACTGTGCTCATTGCATCGATGTGGCATGGAGTTATTATACCAACGAAGTCTGGTTTCCTGCTTGCTTGCGCTATACAATGGTAGCCCGATACCCAAATCATCATTCATATTTTTTTATTTGTTGAAGCAGTGATTGATGCACATGTTATTTTCTGGCTCAGGTATCCACTCTGGGGTTATGACAGCAGAGTCAGTAAGATCTGGTCGTTAATTCATCTTGTCCAGGGTTGATTGACTTGTCACAGGGTTTGTTCCTGGTTTGACATGCTAAAGTGTACACTTCCCTGAAAGAAGTATGCATATTTGAACAAGGAACAGAGAGTAATTGATTTCTAGCTAGTTTCATTTGAGGCCATTTTATATGATTAGGTTTGCAAAGTGCTGATTATGTAGTTTATGGTGGAGTTTTTCATGAATCAGCTAACATCAAGACCTGGGTAATTCTTGGTTGATGGTTCACACATCATTCTAAGCAGCATATTTGATGAGATTTTTGAAACCGTCTTTACATTTTCAAAGCAAGTATTAGTTTCTGTATGTTCTTATTGATCAGCTCCAAGATAATAATAGTGGCTGTTGTTTTGACCTGCATTTAAGTGTCCATGTTCCATTTGAAATTAATACACATTGGAAGTTGTTGAAACCAATCTTGTCAGCAGCAGCAAGGTTGTTCTTGTAATTTGTTAAATATTGATCATCTTGCTGTGATTCGCAGCAAGGACACATATTGATGCATATTTCTTGAAACACAAGTCTTCACAGAAAAAGGTTATGCTTTTATACATGAAAGAGGTTGAAATTACTGAAAACAGACCGTTTTGAGAATGTTGAAGATTGTTTGACAGTAACTAGTTGTTTGAAATTAGAACCAGAATCTGATCATTATCAGCCAAAAACAAACTTACTTCAAACACAGGCCATATGCATATAGTTTCCTTATAGTCAGAATAGAGAATTGCTACTGAGATTTTAACAAGTAAAGATAATTAGGGAGAAAGCTACCCAAATGTGTACACCAAGTCCCTTGTGGATGAAGCCTACAGCATGTGTCGGTGATTGATCCTTTCATTACAGCATGGTTTCACAAGCAGTTGCTCTGCATGCCTCCATAATGTGTTGCTAAACACATACCACTGACAGGCTCTTATCAGCATGTTGTTGTTTCTAAATGAGAATCCAAGTTCTATTTGAGTCAGAGCATTTCATGAAAGTAATAATTTCATCATTACCTTGTATCAGCTCAGAATCTGATACATATAGTTGGCAAACATATGTCTTGGAGCCAAGCCGACACTGTACAATTACACATTCATATATGTTCAGGATGAGCACTGAGCCTTTAATGGGATGAAATTAGGTGTACAATGCAAACCCTATAACCTGTCAGTGTTATTTTTTATTGCGTGTTCATTGTGCCACAACGTGTATCAGCTACCACACAGTACTGCTCTCATGTTGCCATTCACTCAACACCTACCACGTTCAGTGCAGTAGTGACATTCCTCTGGATGCGTGGCTCCTCTTGGCTGCTACCTATGGTAGGTAAGGACAATGCCAGTCCAAGCTGTGTGGCCTGCCGGTGACATGTTCTATAGGCTGCAGTGCTGCTAATTGCTGTTTTCTCTGAGGAAACTACACAATCAGATTATTTCCAGACGGATACTCACAAGTCAACTATGAAATCAATTAGATGTGTTGGTGTCTTATGACAGGAGAGCAGGGCTGTGTGTCTTCGAGCAGGGATAGGGTGGCTGGAGGTTACAATCTTGTCACAGTCATTTGCACCATCTACCCCAGAAGACGGAACCTTATTGGATTTCTCCTGTCACTAGTGTTAAGTTTCTGGGGGTGGTCGCTGTCGAGGAGTAGAGGACAGCTTCCAGGATATTGTCCAGTCTGGCGACGCTCGGTTAAAGAGGTTACAAGTTGCGTGCATGTGCAGCGTTGATGTTCATGTGTTTGAGTGATGTTATGCCTGGTCAGGTGAGGTCCGTTTTATCAGCTGGGAGACGCAGTAAGCGGACACACACACAGCCAACCGGAGAGCTATAGCAAGTAACTAATGGATGTGCAGAGGGTATTGATCAAATGCACTAAGTGGAGTTTTCCACCGGGACATGAGAGTCGCTCTAAGCACCCCTTCCACCACCGCCACCATCCAACAGACAGAGGAACAAAACTCCCTGGACTCTAACGGCACAAATTTAATTTTTTGAAGAGTTTCTGTTGGATGTAGACGCTGAAGCTACCATGGAAACGTGGCCTGTTCTTCAAGCATGCCACATTGCATCTGACAGGAAGAGGTACTAGTATCGAGCCAGAAAGAGGGTTAAGGAGAACCCACGCAGGGTTAATTAAACTCAGGGTATCTGGTATGAGCATCTTAACCCACCAACCTAGATTGTCTTTGAGGAGATTTACACAGTTTCTATTTTCAGTTCAATGGGATTTGAATTGGGATCCCTAAAAATTGAATGCAGTGTGATTTTGTTTCACGGAGTTGGTGTGAGAAGAGATTTGAGTGCTCTGTTGATGTTAGGATATACCATACTTCATGGACAACATCGTGATGAGCGAATGCAGGATCGCCACTAGGAACAGTGTTCATGGTGTTGAACAGCATTCTCAGGGTGTTCACTTGCTTGGTCCGCCTGCTTACTTCTCTGTGTAAAACTCAGACACAGTTTGTCATGTTGAAACCAGACACCGACTTTGACCGGCGCAGGTCTCGTACCAGTCTTGCGTCCATCTTTGAGGATTTGGTCAGTTTGAGAAAGTCCCTCCTCAACAGAGATACTGACACACTGGTAAGTTTTTGTTTCTACATCATTACAGAATAACACCAAAGCATTTAGCATTGTGGGCTGATGCATGACATGCATAGCAATAAATCTCTTCTATTAGCGAAAGTATCATTAATTGTTAAGAGATTTGGGGTTTCAGTGACGTTGTCTAGTTTGTGTTTCCAAGACAACTGTTCAATATCTACGTATATATATATATGTGCTTCACAGTGCCTTTCACTCTCACTGATCTTGTCTTGCTTTTGTTTCCTTGACAACCAATGTGCTGAGAGATTTTCAATACCTTCTTATACACATTATTTAATGTCTTCAAGTATCAGTCTACTGTAATAATACTGATGAATTTCAGACACAAGATTGATTCAAGGCTGGTTAGCATGTTTCTAGTGTGACTGTATTCTGGTATGTAAAGTATATTGTGCTGGTATGTAAGGTTTACTTGATGTTGTATGGCAGTAAGATGGCATGTAAAATTTACTAGTCTGGCTCTATTCTGATATGTAAAGTTTACTAGTCTGGCTCTATTCTGATATGTAAAGTTACTCATCTGGCTCTATTCTGATATGTAAGGTTTACTAGTCTGGCTCCATTCTGTTATGTAAAGTTTACTAGTCTGGCTCTTCTGATATGTAAAGTTTACTAGTCTGGCTCTTCTGATATGTAAAGTTTACTAGTCTGGTTCTATTCTGATATGTAAAGTTTACTAGTCTGGCTCTGTTCTGATATGTAAAGTTTACTAGTCTGGCTCTGTTCTGATATGTAAAGTTTACTAGTCTGGCTTCATTCAGGTATGTAAAGTTTACTAGAATAGTAATATTTTGTTATGTAAAGTTTACTGGTCTGGCTACATTCAGGTGTGTAAAGTTTACTAGAATAGTAATATTCTGTTATGTAAAGTTTACTAGTCTGGCTCTATTCAGGTGTGTAAAGTTTACTAGAATAGTAATATTCTGTTATGTAAAGTTTACTAGTCTGGCTCCATTCAGGTATGTAAAGTTTACTAGAATAGTAATATTCTGTTATGTAAAGTTTACTGGTCTGGCTCCATTCAGGTATGTAAAGTTTACTAGAATAGTAATATTCTGTTATGTAAAGTTTACTGGTCTGGCTACTTTCAGGTGTGTAAAGTTTACTAGAATAGTAATATTCTGTTATGTAAAGTTTACTAGTCTGGCTCTATTCAGGTGTGTAAAGTTTACTAGAATAGTAATATTCTGTTATGTAAAGTTTACTGGTCTGGCTACATTCAGGTGTGTAAAGTTTACTAGAATAGTAATATTCTGTTATGTAAAGTTTACTGGTCTGGCTACATTCAGGTATGTAAAGTTTACTAGAATAGTAATATTCTGTTATGTAAAGTTTACTGGTCTGGCTACATTCAGGTGTGTAAAGTTTACTAGAATAGTAATATTCTGTTTTGTAAAGTTTACTGGTCTGGCTACATTCAGGTGTGTAAAGTTTACTAGAATAGTAATATTCTGTTATGTAAAGTTTACTAGTCTGGCTCTATTCAGGTGTGTAAAGTTTACTAGAATAGTAATATTCTGTTATGTAAAGTTTACTGGTCTGGCTACATTCAGGTGTGTAAAGTTTACTAGAATAGTAATATTCTGTTATGTAAAGTTTACTGGTCTGGCTACATTCAGGTGTGTAAAGTTTACTAGAATAGTAATATTCTGTTATGTAAAGTTTACTGGTCTGGCTCTATTCAGGTGTGTAAAGTTTACTAGAATAGTAATATTCTGTTATGTAAAGTTTACTGGTCTGGCTACTTTCAGGTGTGTAAAGTTTACTAGAATAGTAATATTCTGTTATGTAAAGTTTACTGGTCTGGCTCCATTCAGGTATGTAAAGTTTACTAGAATAGTAATATTCTGTTATGTAAAGTTTACTAGTCTGGCTCCATTCAGGTGTGTAAAGTTTACTAGAATAGTAATATTCTGTTTTGTAAAGTTTACTGGTCTGGCTACATTCAGGTGTGTAAAGTTTACTAGAATAGTAATATTCTGTTTTGTAAAGTTTACTGGTCTGGCTACATTCAGGTGTGTAAAGTTTACTAGAATAGTAATATTCTGTTATGTAAAGTTTACTAGTCTGGCTCTATTCAGGTGTGTAAAGTTTACTAGAATAGTAATATTCTGTTATGTAAAGTTTACTGGTCTGGCTACATTCAGGTGTGTAAAGTTTACTAGAATAGTAATATTCTGTTATGTAAAGTTTACTGGTCTGGCTACATTCAGGTGTGTAAAGTTTACTAGAATAGTAATATTCTGTTATGTAAAGTTTACTGGTCTGGCTACATTCAGGTGTGCAAAGTTTACTAGTCTAGATCTGTTGGTATGTATAGTTTACTTGTATGGCAATATTCTGGTTTGGTAAACAATTGCCACCAGTTACCGTCAAGGAAAAATTGTTTGATATTGGTTATAGTCATACACTAAAATAAGTTAGAAGTGTCTAGAAGATGTGTTATTGTTGCTGGATAGTGTTACTTCTGTTTGATTTTATGCACATTGCCAGACACACCAACAGAAACATGATGTAATAATATAATTCTGATAGATTTGAACATAGAATTTGTTATCATCCCTTATTTCAAGCTTATTGTGGAAGCATATTGATTCTCAGGATGCAGGTTATATGAATTGACTCAGGTTGTAAGAATGGAATAAATCTATTTTCCCCTGCCATTAGTTTGTTCGTTCACCGGAATAACCCACTTCAACAAGGCTCTTGGATGCCAGGAGAGCAAGCAGATTACCTGTTTTCTATAGGAACTAAGCAGTTCATCACATGGATCTCATTTCACAGAAGAAGATACATGATCTATCTGCTTTTGTTGCCTACCAACCATAACAAATACTGCACGGAAATTTCACAATGATAAATACTCTCTACCTCTCAGGGCAACCACTGAGTCTTGCTTAAAAACATATCATGTAGACATCAACAGACAGGGTATCAGTTATTAATAATAATCGTTAACAGGAAGTCCATCACCTCTCGTTCTCTCTATTTGTGAACAGGGTCTGTGTTAATGTTCTTTATTCAACCACCATGTTATTCACATTGAGATTTTGTTCAGCAACGGGATCTGTAATCCACTGTCTAGTATTTAAAATGGGTTTACAGGGGCAATATTATTGTGGGTCAAATCTGCACTGTCTCAGTCATTAGAAGGGAAGGGTGCGATGGGTGACCCAGTCATGGAAACTGTTGTCGGTAGTCGCTGTGCAGGGTTGCATCCCTTGGTGTGCCAGAAACCTGTGATTGTGGGTTTGAATGCTGGTTCGACCATGATGATGTCTCTAGGTTTGCCAACACCATACCCTTGCTAGTTGGTTCACCAAGGTGTTAAACATTCAAGTTCTGCAGCACTTCTGGTTTTCCTCCCACATCAAACTGACTTCCTGTGGTATATATCTGAAATACACTCCAAAGTGGCGTTAAACCAAACTCCCTCCCACATAAGAAGGGAAGAGCTGTCAATTGCCTTGCTTCCGTTATACATACAGTCATGGACACTCAATGTACATGTATATATGGTATTGAGTGCCCCTGATATGATACACTGTGCTGAATGATTTCCTGCAGTACAAGCCTGAAGGATTATCTGTACAAAATTGTGACTGGTCCTTTTCATAGCCAAATGGCCCTGCATCTTGAAACAAATTGCCATCATAGGAACAGGACAAACAGTAGATTGTAGTTGGTTTGCTCTGGCAGACCAATTACCAAGCAGCAAGAATTTCACCCATAAATGTAACAAAAACGCACAAAGAGGAATCAGACACAATATACGAAAGTTTCATCAACTTGCATTCAATTGTGAGCAGACTGATGAATATTTAGACTGACTTGGAAATAATATCAAGAATGTTGTTGTTGATCTCAATGCTCCATAGATATATTGTCTAAAACATCCCTGTAGTAGGTAGACAGCTGTAGACATTGTGCCCTGGTGAATGTGGATGCTTTGAAGAATAAAAATGTTTTTGAGTCTTCCCAAGAAAATTTTATAAAATGGAACTTTGATTGCACATCTTTTCATTCAAGGCAAAATAGAAAACGAGTAATTACTTTGTTGTGATTTACGCAAATTTACAGTTCCTGAAGAGGATGTGGTCAGAGTGGATTGTTTAAATAATACCTGGAAACCTGCTGACAGAAGAGGATCTCCTGGTGTCATGTGTTCACTGTCATGGCTATTCCCAAGTCAACTTTATCTTTACAGCTATTTCTCACTGATAACTGAATGAATAGGAGGCTCTGTGATATTGCAAACTTTCCAGTTTCCTCTATATACATCTTGTGATCATCACATGCAGGGCTGGCGAGACAGTTACAGGCAGTGCTTCTTGGTGATTGACATGTAATTTCCTGTAATTCCATTCAAAAGATACCATTCATATTTTGGCCGTGAAATCATTCTGTTAGCATAGATCACATATTACATTACAAATCAGAATAACCTGTTTCTTTTTCCATTCAGATACTGCAATGCTTAGGCAGCAGAAACATAACAAAATGGAAATTCTGAAGGATTTTCAGATCTCAAAGGGGAACAGGTGGCCCAGTGGTGTAGGGTGTGTATAGAATCCACTGGTCATGGGTTCAGATCCAAGATTATTATACCTGTATCAGGACAATACTTTGTGAGCTTTAACAAATTAGTCAGCCCACGACCTACTTCAGTCTGCCATCCCCTTTTAAGCCAAATATTGTGATTAATGCTGAAATACTGTTCAAAGTGACATTAACGCCTACATCAATCATGATGTTAATGATGTTCTCAAGGTGTCTATTAATCTACTTCTGACCAGGATACTTTTTGTACTTCCAGATATTGAATGAGCTGTTGCAATCCTATCATTGACAATTACCTCTTTAAAGACGTTAATGAACTTGAAAAAAAGAATTACAAATGAATACATAGTTTCACTTCTGAACCTTGTTACTCACATACAAACACCAGCATGTGGGAGTAACAAGGCACGCTGATT